ATCTTCAGTGGGAAACCCGTGTTGTCTCTGCTGATCACTCCATGAGCCGTCCTGGCTTCTGCCGCAAAGCTCCGGTCATTCCCTTCCCCAAATCAGAAACAGCCGTCCAGCGATTGACTTTAATAATGGGCCTTTCCCTGGATCCTGCCCGGTTTTTGTTTGTTTATTCAGCTTTTTCTAGGTAAGGTAAGAGCCAAAAGAAGAATTAGGCAGCTACACTTTGTAGGGGCTGAGCTTTGGCTGCCTTCTCCCGGGGCCGCACGCTCGGATGCTGGAAACTCTTCTCCGGAGGCTGCGGGGGATCTGGGAGATCACGAAGAGAACATTTCTGTGGGACAGTTTTGCAGGACAAGAAAGTAGAAAATTTTTGCCTTCCTACTGCCTTGGAGGTGGGGGGAGGAATTTTGGGAGGCAGTGTCAGGGCTGTCCCCCACCCGCTGCTGGCTCCCCGCCTCGGGTGAGCTCTGCAGGGAGCCCCGAGCTCAGCTGAGCATGAGATGGGCTCAGCATGTTCCTTGTGTTTAAACACTTTCCAGACTTTTTCCCTTTTTCCTCTTCCTAATGCCTGGATGCCCTGTCCAGGGGGGTTTGCCAAGGACTTTGGGTACAGAGTGGCCCTGGAGCTGCTCTTTGCCCTCACTGCACCAAGGCCAGGCGTGCCTCATGCCTGACCCCAAGAGAAGTGGGGACAGAAAGGAGTGAAAAAGGCAGCTTTGGACAGAAAAGGGTGAAAAAGGCAGTTTTGGGAACGACAGCCCCAAATCACCAAGCAGATGAAGCTTAGCCTTTGCAAAGGTGCCTGTAATCCACCCGCTTCCCTTCTCGTCCCCTTTGGGACACTCCAGATGCCTGCAGAGACCGGACGATTTCAAACAGCGGTGTGGAAGTCTTAAAGCCCTTTTCAACCCAGTATCTCCGCATGGGTCTGCCCCAGCTCTCTGCCTTGGGAGGGGTCCCATGGCAGAGTGGGTTTCCAAACACCCTTAATTCTGCATCGGGTCAGGGAGGGGGGAAAAAAAACTAGTCCTCTCTAGGAAGAAAAGGCACTTTGTGGTTTTCCCAGAGCCTTTGAAAGGGCTCCAGGAACCGAGGGGACGTACGTGCTTGTTTAAAGGTCCCGTGGAGGTCCGTGGAAATTAAACAGTGGAGTTCAAACGCTCGACGCCGTGGCCATGCTGCCGCCCGGGGAGTGCGGCAGCCCGGAGCCGGCACAGCCCGCACCCCGGCACCACGGCCCCTGCCAGCGGGGCCCCCCCGCTACCTGCCGGGCGCTTGATTGAATCCCGGCTTTTACGAGCGCTGACACCGTAATCTGTTACAGATGGTCACACAAGGTGGTCACCAAATGGTTCCTCCCATTAATCGCCGGCCGCCCCCCCCTCCTCCACCACCCCCCCCGCCGAAACTGCAGCCTGCGCTACCTGGATGAAACAGCCGGGCTGTGGGCAGCGGCTTTACGGTGTGTTTAGTTCCTGTGGCATTAAAACAGAGAGGGGGGAAAAAACAGGGAAAAAACTGCTGAGGTTTCTCCATGAACCCTCTGGCTTCGCTGTGCAGCACTCATTGCCCAGGCAAGCGCAGCGGACCAGGGCAGGGGACCATGGCCCTGCTGCCAGCTGCCCTTGCTGCCAGGGATGCTGCTGGGGCGGGTTCCTTCCAAAAATGAAATGCTCCTGGTGCAATTCTCCACCACAACAGAGCCCCAAAGGTGTATGGGGGCAGAGAAAGGACAGAGGGGATTGCCCACATCTGCAGCAGGTTTGAGCTGGAGGCAAGCCTGTCCTTGTCATGGGCCCCAGCCCTCTGCTCACCCCAACAGCCTCAGTGTAGAAATGAGCAACATTTTTGCAGCAGGAAAATGAGCAGCCTGTCAGAAGAGGAGGGATCTGGGCCACGGCCATCACTTTGCGACAAGGCAGGATCTGGTCCGGACCTGGGCATAACATGGGGAGGTCAGAGGCAGTGCCCCAAGGTGCGGGACAGCATCTGAGCAGCCACCGGTCCCCAGGGTTCTGGGTGCTTGGGCAGGGCAGGGAAGGGAGCAGATGCAGCAGCAGCCCAAGTGCCAGTGGGCTGCGCTTTTGTGATTCAGAACAGGCAGCATTTCTTTTTTTCCAGTGTTTTAAGGCTGCATTTGTGTTTGAATGCCAGCGGGATTTGTCAGTCTGAGCCTAGGCTGTCCTCCACCTGTTTTATACCTTCTCTCTAAAAGCCTCGCGTCCCAGCCAGGCTCTGGACAAAGCCAGGAACACAACTGAGAGCAGGAAAGATTGCTAAGGCAGGGGTTTCTCACAGCTCTCATTGCCTGCCTAACCGATATTAGTCGAAGCCCATTGAGAGGGAGCTGGCAGGGTTCCCCGGTGGGTGCCAGCGCAGGGACGAAGCAACAGCCCGAATGATGCAGGAAAGCGTCTCCATCCGAATCAGTGACAGCCACGACGCTCGTGGACGGGGGTAAGGCACAGCCTGTGTGGTGTAGTTGGATGCATGCTGTAGGGCCTTAAAGCTGAGCGGTAACGGAGGGCTTTTGCATGTCAGAGCCACAAAGCCAAGACCAACCCCGGGCTGGTGGGACAGCCTGCGCTACCTCCCCAGCAAGCAGGGCTCGGCCGGCTTCTGCTCCTTGCTTACCCACTCCTCGACCCTCCTTTCCAGCTTCTGCAGGTGGTCCGTTCTCAAAATTGGTCTTTTTTTAACTATTTAGCTGCTTTTGCGGCTCCAGGATTTTATGGATGGAAAGCTGAAAGTAATTAGTGCCCCTCCCCCGCTTCCTGTTGGGAAAAGGAAGAAAAAAGCACACACAAGAGCAAAACCCAAAACTTCCTGCCCTGCTTAATAATCAAGTAATGAGTCCAACTCGGCTGGGAAAGTCCGTTTATACTGGGTGAGCTCTTAATTAAAGAAGGGCCGAGCAGCAGCTCTCCTCACTTTTACAGCCAGACACCTCTTCCTGCTCCGTTACAGCCTCTGGGAGAGGCGCAGGGAGCCGGACGCCAACGGGCTGGACGGGGGGATGAGCGCTGGGGGGGACACGCTTTTATTTCCTGGTTAAAAGCAACATCCTGGAGATGGCACGGAGGAAACGCGGGGGCAGAAGGATAAAATCCCAGCCCTTGGGGGAGGCAGGCGGCAAGACCGGCTGCACTGTCCCCGAAGCACCCCAGATTCAGAGGTGGCTGGGAGGGTGCGAGGCAGGTGGTTTGGGGCACTGGGACAGTTTCATTATGGAAATCCTAGAGGCAGGTACCTGAGGGTATCCCGGAGCACCTGCCCCTCCGTCCCCTCCCAGCTGTGGGCGCGCAGGGGACAGCCCCACCTGCGCTTGCCGAAGGGCTTTGCGGTGACGACAGGATGGGTCACCTCTGCTGCCACACCACCCACGGCGGGTCACCCACCCGGAGGCTCACCTCACTGAGGCGCCTGGTGCTTTAGCCATCCGCGGGGAGGCTCAGGAGCCCACCAAGAGCCAGAGGCAGCCCCACTACCCCACTGGGGCAGTCCCCCAGTGCTGCGGCACAGACCTGCTCCCCAGGGAGCATTGAGGGACCCGGCCAGGCTACAGGTGCTCCAGTAGCCCCGTGGGGAAGCCAGCACCCACCCGGGCAGGCTGGGAGGAACAGGGCCAGCCCTTGCACTTTCCCACATGGAGCCAGGGAGATCCGCTGCACCCCCAGCAGCCTGAACCCCCCCTCCCCAGCTTGCATCACGGCACAGCTGCCCCTTCCCCAGCCCTTTAGCAGGAACTGACTCAGGCTGCCTTTTCCTCCCTCAGAAGCGAGTGCTCCGCAGGTTCCCGGCGTGTGAATGCCATTTGCCGTTCACCTGCAGCCAGAGGCCAGGAGTGTAGGGTGGGAGCAGGAGAACCGAGTCCAGCACCCTGACGCCCACAGCACAGGAGGGAGCCGCAGCGCTCCCCACCCCCCCCGCTGCATATTCACCCTGAGCACCCACAAAACCCTATTATAAATTAACGATTTTATTGAATATCAATAAACTGTATATAATTATATAAAAAGTTTCATCAGTACAAAATTGTGGCACAAAAATATAAATACCAGTGTACCTTTGAAATGTAAACATCCTCTTTGTAATGATTCCATGAAAACAATGTCCAAAGAAAGATGCATTCAGGAGGCACCTGTCAATACCCATAAATAGGGCTTTTGGCACACACCTGTCGATGGGCAGCCTTGGGACAGGCCACCATTGTATCGGCTGACAAGTGCCTGCTATTAGTCACAGTTCTCTTGAAAAGCAGTTGTTAAGAGTCATATTAACAGGTGCTTGAGTGCATAGCTGCTCTGTAAACAGGGTTGGTGTTTGAAATGGCTACCCATGCCTTTTATGGACACTGTTAATCTCGCAGGCATTGCAAATTGTCATTGTGCTGGGGAGAAGCAGCTGCTTCACAACTACTGGGATACTGTATTATTGCATAGTTACACCTTCTACAGGCGGCATATATACACTTGGAGCGGGGGGCAGGGTGGTTAACATTTTGTCCTTCATTAAAAAAAAAATTGGTTCTTAAAAGTTACCAAGTGGTTATGGTAAAAAAAAAAAAAAAAACACCAAAAAAAAACCTCCAACCCCCCAAGCTACATGGTCGCAATGTTTGATACCGGTGGTGGGGCCAGGGTGCAGGTCCAACCCTGCAAGGTGCCGAGTGCCTCCAGCAAGCGGGGGCACCTGCTGAGGGGCTGCGGCAGCAGCGGGTCAGGCTCAGGGCTGCACCCCCCCCCGAGTTTCACGCACTCGCTTTGCCACCCACACTTTGCACCGGAGTCCAATCCTGCACCCTCAGATGCCGGGATGGGAGAAGGATCAGGCCTTTGCATTGCACAGGAGGCACATAGCGAGGAGGGTGAGGGTGGCGAGGGCCGGAGGAGCTGCGGCCGGCCCCGGTGCAGGCTGTGACAGCGACGGAGAAAACTAACTCCTACAGAAACTAGTTATAATATAGGTATTTGCGTGGTGAGAGGCCTGGGGGAGCGGAGTCCTCAGCGAGAGCCGGAGCAGCCAGTCTCCTCATGCTTGTGGAGCAGCGACATACGGGAGAAAGTCCGGGAGCAGGTTTTGCATTGGTACTTCTTTACATCTGAATGGGTCTGCAGGTGGGCTCGGAGATTAGACCGGTCAGCAAAGGCCCGGTTGCAGTGTGTACAGGAAAAGGGCTTTTCACCTATGGGACAAAGAGAAACGCTCCCAATTAACCAGTGCATCAACACATGGGGAATATCAAAGAAGGAGCCATTCATTAGCCAAAGTTTGTGAAGAGCACAGTGAAAAGAAGTGCTGGCTGTTATTGTTCGCAGGGAAAGCCGGGCGAGGCATGTACAGCATTCACTTCAGGGGAAAGCGGCGGACTTGGGAATTTCCTCCTCCCAGAAAAACCTCTCCTATGAACCACGGAAAATTAACGCTGGAAACATCTGCAAGCAGCAAGGCAGTTGCACATACAAACGAAGACACGATATTCGTCTCCCGCCTGGAGCCAAGCGAACCGTTTGCAGAGAGGCAGGAAAGCCAAGCGCTATGTGTTAATTATATCATAGCAGGCAGCGGCTGAAAGGCGCCAGCGCCAGGGTGAGTATAGCTATTTCCTCCGCCGAACCCCACACTCCCCCTTCTCCCGCCCAGCTCGCATTGAAAAGCCTGGCCAGGGCGAATTCCTCCCAGAAAGACTCTTTTGGAGGAAACAAATGCGTATGCTCAATTTGGAAAGCACAATTAAGTCTTCCCAGCTTCCTTCAGCCATCATCTTTAGGACGTTAAGAGGGTGTGAAATCAGTGCCAAGTAACAATTACACTATCCCCGCAGCCCCACAAAGGATGCTCGGGAGACGCATTGTACAGGCGGCTGTGGCGGTGGGGTGGGCTGCAGCTGCGGCACCCGGACCCGCACCAACAGGTGCTGGGGGTGGCCGGCCCTGCGCCCCCAGCACCTGCCCGCAGGCCTCGCCGAGCCTCGCTGGGGTGCATCTCGGCAGC